ACCTTCCTGCCTCGCTGTTTACAGGTCAAAGCATAACTAGAACTGAAATTGACAATGGAAACATGCTACTTTTTAAGCAAACCCCAGTTCTACCTTACACACTATTAAGACAGAGCAATAACAAATGCAGCTGGTTAGGCTGCATACAGATAAAGCCGTGTTATTGATGCTGAATGCGCAGTTACTGCCAACCGGCATTCTTGTGAAGTGACTGGCAAAGTGACATGCAGTCAACACCAGAAGGCAGGTCTGAGCAAAGGTGGCCATGATGGCAGAGCTACCGTGATGGACAGACAGGGTGCAGGGCGGCCACATCGCCTCAGGAAGGAGAAGGCTTCCAAACCTGGAGCAGAGAGTCCCATCCCACAGAGTACAGGTGGTAGCACAATGTTAGCAGGTCCAGTCTGACAGCACAGTGGTCTTTCGTTGTGTGTTTGTGTTTACATATAAAACACATGTTCAATTCAGAATACAGTGAGTCCTAGTTAGAGAAAGGAAATTGTCCCAAATAATCACAAATCACATGAATTAAAACAGAGACAAATCCTCGGTGGATTTGAAAGACCCCTCTACAATCCCAGCAGGTTATTCTCTTTTGTGGCAAAAGGCTGCGCTACCATATCAAATTCCGTTTGAGATACAAAATTACCCGCCAAGAGGCATAATTTTAAAGCCTGCCTGTATGAATAATAGAGAGAACAAGCTTTGCTTTCGCGTTTTGCTTTTATGTACTTTCGTTAAATAAACAGACGGGCCCACTCCCCAGTTAAGCTGACATCTCCGTCACCCAGGCTTCCTATAGGAAATCCTAACGCTCCCGCAGCTCAGGACCTCCGGGGTGCTAGAGGAGCCTATCACTGGAATGCTGGGGGGGGAAGAAACAGGCCAAAGCGGCATTCATTTCAAGGAAAGCCGGTTCAAAGAAGATACGGTAACCTAACAGTAACAGCGGCTAACTGGAAAAACAGCACAGCGATGCAGGAAAAGCCCTTATTCATAATCATGTTTCCAAATGAGTCACATGGAAAGGTTCACGGAAAAGAACCAAGATCAGAAACAACGTGCTGCAAAAAAAACGTCTTCAGCCGTCGTCACTCGCAAAGGTGAGGGCACCGGCCATCTGCTGTTTACCACGGAGGGTCATGGTGACACCCCGCCTGGGATGCCGCCCGCCAGGCCTTGGCGCATGCACCACACGTTTGATGTGGGCACTGCTGTGCCGGAGAGGTGGCAAGCTGTCTGTTCAACCCGCCGCGGTCTCCCTTCGGCCCCCACCAGCCTGGCAGTATCCCTCAATCAGCGAGCGCCGCACAACCCCACCCAGACACTTTTAATCCACTCACGATGAAAACAATGGGATTGCTGCTACAGTCAAAATGATTAGCCCCCAGTAAATACTAATGGTTTAAAAAAACAACATATGTGTGAGTGAAATCTGCATGCAAACTCCACTGGAAACAAACACAAATGTAAGCTATGATGTCTGCCCTCTTTCTCTGTCTTATCAGCAGCCATACCACCTACAGTTCTGGCAAGGTAATGTACTGTATATGAAGCTAAGCAGGTTTGGGCCTGGCCAGTACTTGGATGGGAGACCAACTTGGAAAGCTGGGTTCCTACTAGAACAGGTGTTGGTGTGGCCAACAGGTCAGCCCACCCTGTGGTCTGTGGGAATCCCCATGCAGAAATGACCTTCTTGTGACCTTGTATAACCAGACCTCCTCTCACACACCTTCCAACACTGTCTTTCTCTCTAGAACTGCAGGTGACAGAAACACTGAATGTCGAATCTCACTTGATAGTGCTTTTCCGCAGCCAGAAGCTTTACAAGGATCTTTCGGCCTCGACACCCCTGTTCTACAGTCAGAATGCTCATCCATATACTTTAAATAATGTAACAGGAACACATATATAGTGATGTGCTGAGTACAAATGGTTATCGGGGCCCCTATTCCTTACAGCAACATGCCCTGCTTATTATAAATCATGTTAAACTGCAACAGTTTTCACAAGAACCAGTCCAAGCCATAAGACGAATGTATGAAAACCTGTGATGTTTGCCATTTTAGACTTTTAATTTCTCTCCTGCTCAATTCCACCGAGTTGTGAGAAGAGGCTTAAAGCATGCATTTAACTAAGGAAGAGAAGTCATACTGGGACATACGCGAGTAATCGGGCTACTTTCACTCCACATAGAGTAACTAACAGGAAGTGTTCTGCTGGTAGTGACAGCATATCCTGTGTAAGGTTTTGTTCAGCCTCAGTTTAGTGGCCCCGTTTAACAGGCCTAAGACAACAACTGTAGGTACTGAATCTGCAAATTAATGCTGATGTCCCTATTGGCACTATACTATCATCATTGGTCTTACATCAGGTTCCATGCTGACCCAAGGTGGCAGAACCTGTTTATTCAGAATGGTGGCAGAGTTCTATACTTACATCTGCACTGGAATTAGGTACCAGCACATAAAAATGGAAAATTAGCCCAAGCTGAATTTAATTAGATGGAATGTTTTATTGTGATACCAAAGACATAAAAATTATCATCTTTAACATTTTTTTTTAGCTTTATAATAATCGATCCTTTATTGCCCCCGTGGGGAAATCCTTTTTTTTTTTTACGCCTCCCTCAACTTGCTTTTTGTAGAGTAAGCTGTCTACAAAGGGCAGCCACCTGTTGGGGCGCCCAGGAAGCTGGGGGTTAAGAGCCTTGTTCAAGGAGCCACAGACGTGCTGAGGCAGGGCTTGAACCGGCAACATTGCGATTACAGGCACACAGGCTAGGCCACTGAGCCACACATATTTCTATGGTGGATGATTGTGGGATTTCGCTACACATATTCTTAAAAACTTGATTTTTCAAACTATATTTTGGTACTTGGTTTAGTGGAGTACTTTTTGGCATCATTGAAAAAATAATTTACCTGGATACTGTTGAATATTGTTTGTTTTAATTAATAATTTCCGATAATTGAATTTTTTTTTTTTAAAGACATAGTAACGAAGCATACACTGGAAAATAGAATATCATTTATTTTGTGGAACAGAATTATTTAAAATGGACAGAAAACAGTTGAATCTGAAACATTTTGCACTGGATTTCACACTTTCCTCCAGTCAATGTGCTTACCTGCCGGTACCTACCAGAATGCTATATGACATAAATTCATCAAACTAAATGTTACAATGAAGTCCTCACTCAGTAGCTTTAGAGACCTGGGTAACAAAATATGGTCTTTATGAGGTCATCAAAAGCCTCGCCCATACTTACACCTCCCACGCAATCTGAGCCCTGCCATTATCAGGACAAAGATCTCCGTGTCAGAAAACATTTTGCATTGCGATGTTATTGACAGTATAATAAAATCAAGGTCTTTACTCACTGGGACAAAGGAGCTTCACACTGTATAAGCGCAGTGCACATGAGTTGCCCGCAGGTGCAGCGTCAGCCTCCAGTCGCAGCTCACGGCCCCCGATACCGGCTCCCGCCCCCCAGAGCTCCACACCGCGTCCCACGGGTGTCATCAGAAAAACGTGGCGGCAGCAGAGGAACCGCGTGTCAACGTCACGTGAAGAGCGGCGCGCGCCGATACACGCGCAGACCTCACCGATTGTTTACATTTATATAGCGAGGTTAAAGTTAGGGTTACGCAGAGTTGCTAGTTGCGCGGTACCTCAAATGGGGCTATTTTGAAAATACAGTTGCGGGTACATATTAGGAGGTATCTGGGTTGCGGGCTTTTTGGGCTGCTTTCATGTCAGCAGACTGTAAGGGGAAAAATAAGTTAATTATTATGAATGGTGACTGGTAATGCTGAGTAATACTGAATCATTAGTCACTTAAAGTCAGAGACAGACGTACATGGAAAGCAAGGTTGCCAACTCTCACGCAATTCTATATTAATCTATTATAAACCTAAAATTAGCTACACCACAAGCGATGGGATAGTTTGCAAGGTCTGCAGACTATTTACAGGGCAATAAAACTGTTTCATACATGCGTGTGCAGACTAGTCTCGAATTGAAAATCTCACGCCAGCCAGCTGATCAAAGTTGGCAACCCTGGGAAGAGAGTGTGTTCGTCTACGTTACGTCATTGCGTTTAACTGTGGTGAATGTGGTCGTCATGCAAAGTACTGGTTTATTTCTTTGAGATACAGTATACTGGGATTTCAAATACTGGGTTAGTTTCAGCTTCCGTGGGGCGGATTTTAAGCAGATCTTGGGCTGGAGATTTTTAATGCACCTTTTGCTGATTGAGTTATGGTTAAGTCCAGGCTGCCCTTCCTTAGTTAGGGGGCACCACCCCGATAACTTCCTCAAATTACCTTTTTTATTTTACTTTTTCGCAGGGTTACGGCTCTACATTTCACCTCAAACATATGAATGTGTAAAAAGATGGACCTTTTGTCCAATATTTACACACATACACACCAGTAAAATGCAATTTTCCGTGATGGTTTTAATCATTCTCCCATCTGTGGTTATTGTGGACTACTGTCGTATTGGTCAAAATATAGCTTATTGCTTGTTTATTCTACACGTAAAAGTTTTAAACTTCTAAGGTCAATGACGAAAGCAAAGGCAGCTGTATCTAAAATTGCTGTCTAAATATTGTAAAGAGCAGTTTCACGGTCCATTTTCTAGAAATGTTATAACTTGATATTCAGTTAAATCAGAAATAGTGCGCAGTGACGTCAACCCAGCACGAAAGGGTTAACAAGATAAAAAAAAGTAGTAATCAAAGACTTCATGTCGGAGTTTCGCTGACGCCTTTGCAAATGATGACGATTTTTAACACATTTTACACGGAGTATTTATCTGAAGCAGTACCTTCCCCGGCCCCTGCAGACATGACCCAGCAGTGTCCAGGCTCCCGTTACATTGACATTTAATTTACCGCCACGCTTTCTCAGCACTGGAAAGCCACGCAAAGACCTCGGCGTAACCCCAACCCTGAACCAGAATCAGAACTTTAAGCCCAGTCCCGGGACACCCACCTGTCGTACTCGGCGTTGTCCCGCGCGCAGCGGCCGTCCTCGTGCCTCTGCCAGTCCCTGCCGTGCCTGCACGTGGTCAGCAGGACAATGTCCTCCGCGTTGTGGACGTGGTGCAGGGCGTTTCGCGTGTCCGACCCGATGCCCGTCAGGTAGCGCTTGCCCTTAAACACCAGCGTGTACTTCCTGAAAGGGGGGATAGAGTTATACTTCAGAAAGCCCCGCTCACCCCCGCTCCTGGGGTGCTCCTTGCTGAAAAGCGGGATGGAGACGTCAAAGTTGGGTCTGAAGCTCTCCGTGCTGATGCTCGCCTTGGCCACCATCGCCTGGCCCACGTCAAAGCTCAGATCTTCTGTGTAATCCGGCCATGTCCCCGAGTACAGGTTGAATATCAGGTGGTTCCTGCCGTCGTCCCAGAAAGGTTGGCTCTGCACCTTCGCTTTCAGACTGGGCACATACTGCGGCGACAACTGGTCCCGGTCCAGAGTATCCAAACCCAAAACGAAAAGGCACGCCTTCGTCGGGTCCGGAGTGTAAAACCTGGAGCCCTCGATGGCTGCTAAGATGTTCTGGTAACTTTCTGAGATCTTATCCGCCTTCTGCCTCGGATAAAGGTAAACTTTGAAGCCGTTGCTCTCGCACCGGGAGAAGTCGAAGCATGACTCCATACGGCACTCCTTTCCTTTATACCTGCCGGGATCGGCATCCCTTCTTCGTCGCATGTCGTGATTATCGGTCTCCGGCTGCTCCGGGGACGCGAATGGCTGCAGGGGGTCCGAGAAACGCTGCCAGGAGCGCCCGGGATGACGGCCACTGCGGTGCGTCCTGCTTCTGTGCGCCGGTCCCCCTCCAATAAGAAGCAGCAGCAGGATGCATGCACCGACGAAGAGCAGTATGAAAAAGCGCTTTTTGGCTTGCATGTGTCCTCCGGTCCGCGGCCAGGTGCCGCTGAGTAAAGCCGAAGCGCCCCGAACTCCGCTCCTCAGCCCATCCGCCTGCTCCACTCCGCCATCTTCCACCGGCGGCCCCCTGCCGCTTCAAACTCGCCCTTCCCACCGTCTTCGACTTCGTTATCCCAATCAGGCGAGTGATGAAGCGCATCGGGCCGATTTTGATAAATAAGCCGTATCCTCTCTTCCATCTACCACTATGTGACCCGATAGTGCCGTCACTTAAACGTCTCCATATTCCGTGTGGGAATTTAGAGACAATGCCTTAAATATACATAAAGATTATTCTTTATCGAAAGCAAGTAGTTTAACTAGTCCCACGGTCGGAAAGTAAAGAGAATCGGTGCATCTTTCCGGCACCGGTCCTGAGGAACCAACGCTGCCAGCAGAGCGACCTCCCTGAAGAGCCGGTCCGGCGTAAACAGTAGAGAGCTGCTTTATATACGGTCCCTTACGGTGGCGCTCGCTAAACCTCGCTTATTTTAAGGCTGCAGAGAAGAGCATAAAGCGGAGGATCAGATCGGCTGCGCTCGCATGAAGCTGCACATTTCCTTTTATATGCCTTCTGCAGAGTCACGGGATAAACAACGATGAACAGCAGCCGGGGACGCCGACATCAGTAAACGCGTATCGGCATGTGCGGAGCAGTTCTCCCCGCTTGCTGTTAACAGTGCAGCCCCTGTAAGCCTGCAGATGAAGTGACGTCCTCTCGTCAGGCTGTGAACTTTTCCATTGGTGTGCATGCAGTCCGGAAAAGGCGGCTCCTCCGGCGCACCCTTTCAAGGCAGGAGCCAGGAGATGAAGTGCCCGGACGAGCCGCGAGCTGCAAATACCGCTGTCGGAAGTATATAAAAATAAATTACGTAGCTGTTTTATATATATTTATAGAAGTAATAAAGAAATAATAACATCGAGTTAACATTTTAGTCTAAGTCGAAGGCTATTCATGGTTGTATTTCTTGCATTGTTTTGTGAAAGTGATTGTTAATTACCATGCAATTCATTAAATTTGATACAGACAATGAATCTCCGCCATAGGAATTCTGATTACTAAAATGATCATATTCGTGCAATTATTTTGGCTACATTATAATATAAAACAAGCTATAAATTAGAATGAAAATCATCCTCTTGGTTTATATTCAATATAAAATAAGTGTATTATTATATTACTCAAAAGTTTGCAGCCGATTAAACGTATCGTTTTATTCAGACATCCACGTATTTTTCATGTAAATGATACGTATTATTTACATGAAAAATCCGGTGCATTAGCATGGAACACAAGTGCGCCACTATATGTCTTTGCATTGTTGGCATTATTTATTTTCTGTTGTGATGCACGGTCTACAAGGGCATACAAAATGAACTGCGATCGCGTTTGTCCGGTTTCATCTTCACTAACATTTTGACTGTGTGTTTTCATTTAATGTTCTTCGTCTCAAGAAATCTACCAAATGTTATAACAGAAATAAACAGCATCTGGCAGTTGATGAGTGTGATTACAGAGTGTTCACCAAAAGTAAAACCACGACCCCATTAATGTTATTTTGCAATAATTTAATTTAAACGAGTCACAGATTTATTAAATTTTGCAGTATTTATTTTTGTCATTGCTGCGACAGGTAGCTTTTGGAAAGCTCAAAGTGGTTCCATAAAAGTTTCACAAGGAGGACGAAACATAATTAAGTAAGTGTTAAAGTGAAATTTGAGGTTAGGGTTTAGATCCGATGCAGCGGTAGAAAATGACTCAAAATAACTTCCAAAATGACACTAGTTACTACACTACACTGCTACGTTTTCGAAAGTATTTCCATACACACGGAAACGACAGAATATGTATTTGACGTAGCTATTAGCCTGGATTTAGCATGCACACACCGAGACCGTAATTTCTTTTTGCGCAAATTTGCAGCAGCCAGTCGCGTAAAACGCTATTTGGCTACATGCAGGCCAGCAGCAGGGATACTGCTGTCACTACAGGATCTGAGTCAGTAGTGGATTTGAGTCATTCGTGCGCTGCCGATCTGAGTCAACCGTGTTGAACTATTAAATTCGTTTTCAAGTGAAATTTTCACTGTCAATACAGACAATTAAAACTTATCAGCCATTTTATGCAAATGAATGCATATACATGAGATGGGCCTTAGCTTTCTGAAACTGGTAAGGGAGCAGGTCTGCCAGATGGTCTAAAGTCCTTTATTACTTCAATAGTCTAATACTTAAAATACCTGAATAATAATGATCCAGACACCTGTCACGCTGGGACGACGCACGGAGCGTAAACAAGGCGCAGGACGCAAAAAGTCGGGGCGAATACGGGGTTTATTGGAAGCAGCAACACAAAAGGTGCACGTAACAAACGGGTTGACATTACAATGACCGGACTGGGGAAACAAACTGAAACGCGGACTAAATACACTGAACTAATGACAGTAACCGGAAACAGCTGATGAACACGGGGAATCCACATGGGGTTAATGAGGGGGCGTGGCACACGAGAGGAGCGGACGATCGGGGCATGACAACACCTATATATACGTATATGCATCTCTGTCGATGTGGGTACTTGTTTTGGATATTTTTCAAATTTGATCCTAAGTGATCTACCATACCAAAGTGTTTTCCTATAGGCGATATTTATGCAGTCTTAAAGTGCAGCCTTATGTAATGTATAATTGTTTTAATAATTTTACAATCATTTTCCAGATATAAACTAATAATAATAACTGTAGGGAATCTGATTTCCCTGATATTTGTAAGAAAATTATGTGTCATATATTATTTTCATACAAGCAATGGATGGAGCGACTTCTTAAATATGGGGTCACGCTCGTCGTCCATTGGCCTATAGCTGGAGACTTGCCTGTCATGTCTAGTGAATCATTGGTTTGAACAGCTGACCTAAAGGTTATCCCAAAAACTAGCATATACACACTTGCCTGTTGTGGACAAGATTGGCCACCCTGAGCATAGGTGTCATGACCGGTAGCAGTGCACGGAACAGGGAAGCAGGAGAGGGAAGCGTAGGACTGGGGAACACGGGATTTAATGAAACAAGGGAGCAGGGACATGGAATAAGCACAGACGGGCAACACTACACAACTAGACCTCAATGACAGACCTAGGGAAACGTACTCGAACGACACTGAAATACGCAGGACTAGTCAGAAATAACACGAAACAGCTGATAACAATCGATGTTTCACACGAGGTAAATGAGGAGGATCGGATGAGCAGGGCATCACAGTAGGGTGAGCAGGGGACCAATCAGATCAGAGGATGGGCCATGTGAAGAGTAGGGACTAATTATGGCAATCTGCGTTTTCAAAACTTTTCACATTTACTCATCCACACTGCAACTCTGAAATAGAGTTTTCAGAAGTATTTAACTGTGAGAGTGTTTAGAAAAGTCCCCATTTTTGGGGTCTGAAATCTCCGGGGTACGTAATGTGGATGAAATGCAAAAACAAAGAGTAATGACTGCGTTTGTAAATGAGAACATAGCAGTGTGGATGTAGCCTCAAACTAGCTAAAATCATCCCCCTACCTGCGCTGACAGTGAGCGCAGACAGACAGACAGACAGATAGGGCAGTTCTGACAGTGATCGCCAGCGGTCGCACCCCTCACCCGCTCTGACAGCGAGCACAAGCAGACCCGGGGAGGGGCAGCCTGTAGGGAACTCCCGACAGTCACTGCCGCTTCTGAGCAGAACCTAACGTCACTCTAGATAAGCTAGTCAAAGTGCTAGCCAAAGTGTCAGCCACCAAACCAGTAGCTAGCAAGTCAGATAGCCAAGCTGCACGTAAAACGGCTTCTGTGTTTGGTGATATTTGCTGAGCTCTGCTCAAATGCTGCATCTGAAATCTGCCACTTCAGAAAAAAAGCAGCTCATTTTAATTGAAGGTGCTGGACTCCTGTTTCAGATTGTTCCAGCTGACTTTATCCCCTGCATACAAGTGAAGTCTTTTACAGTGACATGAAACAGGAAACTATTACGTGTTATACCATACAGCATCACTTTTACAGTGTCAGCAAAAGAATAAGAGAAAAGGAACAAGAAAAAACGATTTAGACAGGAATACTGAAAAATAAGAAATGTGCACAGACAAGGGCGGACTAACTTCTCTAGGGGCCCTAAGCTGACATGGGTAGGGGGCCATTGGAGATATTTTTGGGGCCAAAAAAGAGACGCAAGGGAACATCAATAATATGCTAATCAAAGTGTGGGATGCCAGCGACAAAACTTACAGATCAGGGAGGGGGGTACGGGTGGTATTGCACAAGAGGATTGGATTGGTCAAATTTAAGAAGTTTATCCATTACCTCTTTTGCTAAATTTAATCTTGAATTTTTGCAGACGCTGCTTTAATTGCATTCTCTCCTCGTCTGTTCACAAGTTGTCTACCACTCCAGCGAGGCAGTATCAGACAAGGGCGATAGACAGCTAGTCCTGTCTCTTTGTGCTGTTCTCTTCGTTACTTTGTGCCAGCATGATTGGCAGCGACCAACATGTTGCTATCATTGAAATGATCATATTATGTTATATCCTTAAATGTAAGCCCTGGAAATTCAGACTTCACGGGGCCCCTAGTTTTACCACTTGTGAGACAGAAGAAAAAAAAACAAATAAATATGAGACGACTGCTGTCTTTC